TGTTCCTCTTATGTAATTTTTTTGACTCGGCCTCTTCATGCTTTGGTTTAAACCTCTTGGAGATTTGCTATTTAGCTTCACTGTTAAATTATGCGAAGGTTTGAATCTTTGCTTGACTATCATGGTGATATGATTTCTGAATGCATGTACACGTGCAGTGACCTATCCTACAACTTTTTCAATGGATCGATTCCTGAAAGCCTTGGACAATTGACTTCATTACAGAGACTGTAAGATTTCTCAGTATTTAGTTTGACGATATGAGAAATAATAAACGATAAATCAGTATTAAGCAGTCTTCATGCAGGAACCTAAATGGGAACTTCCTGTCTGGAAGGGTACCAGCGACTCTAGGAGGAAGACTTCTACACGGGGCAAGCTTTAAGTATGTTGTCAAATGTTAAACTATATAAAGAATATTTGTATGTAATGGGAGAAGAGGCACATCTATTTGCCATTCCTCCACTTTCTCTGTGACTAAGGTTGCTAAATCTGCACTTGTGGATGGGTGCAGTTTTACTGATAATGCAGGTCTATGTGGCATACCTGGATTACCCACTTGTGGACCTCACCTTTCTGCCGGTGCTAAAGTTGGTATTGGCTTAGGTGCTTCTTTTACTTTCCTACTTCTTATTATTGGTTCAGTTTGCTGGTGGAAACGGCGGCAGAATATCCTCCGAGTTCAGCAAATAGCCGGTAAGAATGTTGATTTGTGGGTTATAGTTGTCCTAATAAAATGTGTCTGGTTTGAGCTTGTGTTACAACAGTTCATGACCGATTATAAATAACGGCTTCTGAAATTGTTGATTTTTTAAGTGCACCAAAATCAGACCGGTTCTGGGTAAGATTGTTTGGGTTAGCAATCTTACCCAGATTGAGCTTTGAAAACTGCTATTAATATAAACGCGTGCAAGAGCAGTGTCTTATTGTCTGTTTTGAAGTTTTCTAACCGTAAATTTGCATAGAGAACGAATTACTATAAGATATTGATGGAATTTTTGTTGGAGTTATTCCCTCACTATATGCAATCTTAACGTTTTCAAACAGATACGTTATTTTTCACAGTAGTTTTCCAGGATAAAGAAAATTGAATTTGAGGGAAATGTGTCGCTTCATATGTGACGTTGAATGAAAAATTTATACTCTTATTTTCTTTTGTAGCAAGGGCAGCTCCATATGCGAAAGCTAGGACCCAATTTTCACGTGACATCCAGATGGCAAGGCATAATAACAATAATAATTATGGCAATGCTCAAACTGCTTCGGAGAATGGGCCTATCTTGCTTTCACGATGATATCCCATTTTTCTGGTATATTTTAAGCACAATCATAGCTTCTTTTTTTTCTGTTTCCTATCTTAAATAGCTTCTTTTAATCAATAGTCCTATCTATGTGGCACTAATTGCAGAGTAATCCAATCTTCTGATGGTGTTTCCCATAGCGTGCTTCTCCAAATATTGACAACAGTTTTTTGAGCTCCCTTAAATAACTTCTTACAAGCTGGGAACCCTCTTTGTAAATCAGAAATTTGTACATCATGCTTACATTTTAGTTTCCTACTTTGTTTGAACTTCTATACATGTTTTTTTTTTCTTTTTTCTATTTAGTAGAGGATTTTGTAACAATTTAAAAGTTAATATACAAATAGAAATTATAATGTTCTATGAATGAAGGAAAAGCAAGTTCCAATTTACATAATGCCTGTCACAGTTTTCATGTGTATCCTATTTATATTATCTGCAGATCATTCTAATAGGCGGTATGGTTGTTTGTGGCTTGATAAGGAAAAAAATCCCCCACCGAATTGCCAATTTGCATAAGCTGAAAATTGGTTTCTGAATTGAAGTTGGTAAGAAAAACAAGTCACTGTACCAAATAAAACCCACACCTATCCCAGTCTGGTCTAGATTTCTTGATCTATGGTCCATGATTAGGTTTAAATGTGAGCATGAGAGCACACAGACACACATATATATAGGGTATTTATTGACAATATTTTCTATGAAAAATAAATGTTGATTATTACATATTATCACATGTTAAGTTTTAAATTATATAAATTAAAAACTTTAAAATAGTCGTAATTTTTCTAAAGCAGCATAGTCATAACTTGAATGATTTTAATATATTTGGCTGTAGAGATTAAATGTATTTCCCTCATGAAGATAACTACTTTGTTGTTAACATTTACGTATTTCAATATTTAGAAACATGAAGCAAGCTAGCCGAGTTGATTTTGGCGCAATTGGGGGCCTTTCTTTTAGTAGCACCACAACAGAATTAAAGGCCAAAAGCCCAAGAGACTATATACCACAGAGGTCCAACAAACAGTGCCCCTCAGCAAATCAATAGAATAGAATGAAGACAACATAAAGAGATGGCTCAATGTACTAATTCCATTTATCTGAACTTTATCCTACAGTTTTCTGAATTCTCAATTATGTTTATCATTCTATTTTTCTTTTAAAACATAAAAATGTAGCACACTTTGTAAAATTTATTTTTACACCATTAAATTATGAAAAATAGTAAACATACATTTTCATCTAGGACATACTTGTTATACACTCTTACATATGGGTTAAATAAGTGTAATGTTTAAGTTAAATTATTATAATTTTTAAATCAGTATATCAATTGCATACTTCTAAACATTACATACAATATAGTTTTTAAATCAGTATACTTTTGAAATTTTCATAATCATCCTGTGATAACATAAAAAAAAATTCAACTATCACTTTATGATGGAGCCACATAATATCTTATATTGTTTTATGATAGAGACACGTGATATCCTATTATTATTATTGTTTTAAATCATGACACTTTGGTTAATTCTGTACAATATTTTGATTAAATTTATATAATTATGGGTTAAATTCTTAACTAAATTTATATATACAACTTTAGAGGTGTCCAATTACCGACATTCTTAAATTGTATAACAGAAAGAAGTGAATAATATTGGGGCATGGACGAACTAAAAAAGTATACGAAGTTTGATGATGAAACAAATAATAAAAGTTAAAAAATAATAGAAAGAGAAATTTAAATTACTTACATCAATATGGTGTACAGTAGTGTAAAACGTAGGAGTACGTACCACGTTTCATTTTATTAAATTGTGCGCATGGACTCTGCAATAGTACGTCATTTCATTTCAGTCAACCTGATTCTCAAACTTTTGGAATCACTTCTTCTCCAATCGTAGTAATTTGAAGACAGGGATGGTTGGTTCAATTCAGTTTTCTTTTTTTTTAAGTTATCCTTATTTAATAAAAAGCAATGCATTATTAAAATATATTGTTGAGAATATTTTTGTTCTCTTATTATGAGATCTTAATCACATGTGTAAAAGAAAATACTATGTCGGTAGAGATTTTAACTTCATGCCAGCTCAGGTCAAAATACATAAAATGATTTGAAACAGAGTTCATATATCAGGCATTGATATAAGGTCTTTTACAGGCTAAGTGACAACATTTGACATGATCGTTGGACTTGTGATACAATGTTTATCTCAGTGAGGAGAGTTGAATTATTGAGACGAGGACTAAATTATTAGGAGTCTGTTTTGGTGGTGTTAGTTATTTTTGTCTTGGAAGACTCTTCTTCAACCTTCTAACTCTGCATGTCCCATCCCTATCTTAGGTCCACAGGTCCAAACTTTACCTAAAGTATGGCTGCCTCTAAATAATATCAAAGGTTAATACCATTTTATTTTGACTATTTTGTAGATTTTATTTATTTATCACAGTCGAGTAAATTTGAACACGAGGCCGTTACAAAACATGATGTATGGTGTCCGTTGAAAGTGGGTTTAGAAGGGAAACCAAAGACAGAGGTGGTAGGGATAGGGATGTTGTTTGATAGAGAGAAACAAGAAGAAAGTAAAGGGTAATGAAAAAAATCGGAGGGAGCACACAAAAAGGAAGAAATAAAAAAGTTGGCGTCCTATCATATCATATCATATATCATATCATGATGATGAGAGTGATGGAGAGAGTATAGAAAGCGAAACTAAAAGGCAAAGTTTAATTAAAAAGGAGAAAAGAAAAATAATGTAAAAGGAGTTGTGGAGAGAATCATCGAAAGATGGTGGAAACAGGAGCAGCGAATATAACTGGATTCCCCATGATCTGCTTTGTAGAAATTTAAGAGTAGTGTGATAATGGAAAAGGAAGGAAAGAAAAAAAGAAAAGAGAAAGTAAATAGAAAAGGATTCACGTGAACATCCGTATCTGTTGTATGTGTAGGCATATAAACTGTGCCCTTCTGCTTGGTGCAGTGAGTCTGAAGTCTGCACACCCCACCCCTGCCATTCACCACTCACTCACTCACACTTTTTATTATTATTATTATTATTATTTATATATTTATTTATTTATTTTACAGTGGTAAGTAGTAGTAATAAGACGGAAGAAAATAGTAAAGATAAAGAGTTATTAAAGTGAGAGAAAGGACAGAGCCCAACAGAGTCAAACACGCCAAATAGATCAGAGAAGCCCATATTGAGAGAGAGAGAGAGAGAGTGTGGCCCAACATCACCTGTTCCCTGCAACTCAGACACTCTTCCACGTGGGAGTCTCTGTCACAGCACCAACCCCAACCCCACACTCTCTCTTCCCAATCCCACTCCCCCACCTCTCTCTCTCCCTCTCTCCCATCCTTTCCCTTTCATTACGTCAACTCAAATTCCCATTCACAATCTCAATCCCAAAAAACACACACATTACTACCATTACCATTCCTCATTTTTTTTTAATTAACCCCCTCTAGGGCTTACGTCACTCCTCCTTCCCACACGTCTCATCAGGCGGCGGCTCCACATTCTCAATCCACAGCCGTCCGATTCTACACCCCACTCCCTCGTCAACATCAACGGCTCTCATCTAAACTGCCCCTTTTATCCAAATTTGCGACTGTGTGCGTGTGTGTGTTTACGTGTATATATAAACCAAAAGGCAAAGCAAAGCGAGGAAAGAGAAATAGAAAGAGAAGGGAAGTGTGGTGGTGCCGGCCAGCCGACAATTACGGGAGGTTATGTGGGTCCCTCCACTTTTAAATACACACATAGTCATTTGTTGTGTTTGTTCCCTTTTCATTAACGTTTTTTGAGTTTGAGTTGGTACTTTGCGTTCGTTGCATGATGGCGTCTTCTTCTTCTTCGGGCTCTCGCGAGGGGCACTACAGAGGCGTCAGGAAGCGACCCTGGGGACGCTACGCCGCCGAAATACGTGACCCGTGGAAGAAGACACGTGTCTGGTTGGGCACATTCGATACTCCCGAGGAGGCCGCCCTCGCCTACGACGGCGCCGCCCGTTCTCTCCGCGGCGCCAAGGCCAAGACCAACTTCCCCCCGGCTCCCGCCCTCTGCCTCGACCTCAACGCCCCTTCTTCCGATCACCGCTGGCCCAACGTCCCCTCCCGTACCCTCGTCCTCACCGAGTTCCTCCACACCGCCGTTCTCAAAGACATCGAACCGCCGCAGCCTCTTCCCCCTGCCACCACCGCTCTCCGCCGCCCCGACGCCGGCGTTCCTCTCGGTGGCGGAGTTCAGGTGGTGGAGAGCTCCCCGACGGCGTCGTTTTTGGGACTCGTTCGGCGCGGGATCCCCATCGACTTGAACGAGCCTCCACCGCTGTGGCTATGAGTTGTCGGTCCGAGTTCTGACTAGGTTTTTTACGTCGTCGTTTCGTTTTGCTTTCCTTCGTATCTAATTTATCTTGTATGTTTTTAAATTTTCCCTCACCTCGCTTAGGTTTTACTATGAGCCTCGTACGTTCATCGTATCTATCTGTCCATGTGAGTCTATCTAACATTAGGTTAATGGAAGAAAAACGCTATGATATTGTATATACATTTATTTTCCTTATCAATGACTCTACGAATTTTGTAGTAGCGGTACTACTATGTTAGTTCGCCGATCCAGTTAAAGTTGTTTGTGTTGTTAGCAGAAGATATTCACCGTCTTTCCATGATTGTGTGTGGTCTGAAAGTTTTATGGTTTTGCAATGTTGGGTTGTCTTGGTAGCGTGGTTAATTTATTTTGGTTTGGCGCTTTTGGAATGTTGGGCGGCGTAGTATACAAGCGAGGAGGGATTGCCAACCGTTGATGCGGTTGGGACCACCTGGGAAAGGGAAAGGACGAGCGTGACCAGTGACGCGCGCGTGAGAATGCTTTCTCTGGGGGAGCGGGAACTGCGAAGCGAGCGTGTGGGTATCTGCATTATGGCATTCCTTTTCTAGTCAGACCTCTGCATCTTATCATTTTTGCAGCGTATATTTTCCACAACCCTTAGACCCATTCGCTCCCCAAAGCGCGTACCATTTATACACCTCAACTCCTTCCTTCATATTCCTTTTTCACTTATTCTATATATTTTTCTGTACTTGTATGTATTAGCACATGAAACTACTGTCAACAAATTTAAGAACAACCACCGTCTACAAATTGTGGAAATATCTTAAGCAATGCGTCATGTCTGTCAGTTCAAAATTTAAGTTATTTGTTTTATTATAATATAAAGCACATGTATTGATAAAATACTAAATTATTTTATGAAAAGAGTATATAAATAATTAATTATGTTGTAAAATGGGGGTTGTATTTTGAGTTTTTTTATGTTTTGTTTTTGGTGAACAGGAAATGATTGGAAGTAAACAGGGTGATGGGAGAGGGAAAGTGTGTGTTAGTGTTGGGGTTTGGCCCACTCTGCATAGGATGTTGATGAAAGCTAACATAGTGCATTTAACTTTAGTGTTTGGATAAGTAGCAGAACACAACTACGTGATTAATGGAGAAATAATTTATGAGGAAATGGTGTGATGCAGAAGGAGCAGTACTGCATTTTTGAGGAATCAGGCACCACCGCACTGTTAACATGCCGGCTTTTAAAACTTCACTTTTCTCGATCTCTGTGCTTTTTTTATTTATCACTTCTTCTTAGATAAAGCTAACCACTTTTTTCACCTTTTTCATTTTCTTCTTGCCCTTCTTCTATCTGTAGATTGTTAGCAGCTTTCCCGTTTCAATATTTATTAGTTTTCTTTTTTTTTTATTCTGTTCTTATATATTGTAATTTGTTTTCTTAGAATCTCAACAGCTTTCATTTTGTGGAACATTAACAATACTTTCATTTTATTGATAACAAAAAAAATATAGTAATTAATTAGCCATACTTAACTTGTATTTATTGTAATGCGCTTTTAAGAAAAAATGAATCAGCATCTTGGGTTACTTGATAATCCACACACATCCATGAAGTATTAAAAAAATTAATATTCACTCTCATAAGGGATTATATCATTCTCTCTACTCAACAAAAAATTATTTTATTATCTTCAAAACCAAAACCAATGGAAGCGTGTTTTTCCTTTTCTATTTTCCTTTTAAGTTCAATCATATTCAAACCATGAATGTATTTTTTTATTTATATTTTGAACTGTATGTTGCAGAGTAAGCACTTAAAATAAATTATGATAGAAAATATTATTCATGTGAAGTGTTGAAGGATATCATAGAAAATATAACCACAAACCACATGACTTGATGGGAGACCACTCCAAGGGTTAATTGACTGGTATTAGATTGTTTTAGTTTAATAAATAATTTTGAACTGAAATTTAGAATATACATTTGAAGTTAATATTGGATTGACCGAAAAAGAAACTACAAATAAAATTTAAGATGATTCAACCGTGGGCAAAAGTTTGGAAATTTCAAATAAGAAATAAGATGACATTAACAGTATGTTTAATATTGTAACTCTTTCACTTTTAACTTTAAAATCTCCAAAATATTTTGTACTGACACGAACTATATAAACATATTATCATGCAAACTATTAAAAGTATGTTTAATCATTTTTCTGTCTAATAAGCTATATCTATTTAGAATTAATAATAGTCTTTTAAACTAATAATAATAATATGTAGTTAAAAATTTAATAATTAATGAATTTGAAATCAATATACAAAATAATTATTTTTATTTATAATAAAGACAATTTTAAATATTAATGATTTTTAGTTTATAAAATAACATCTATTTAACTTAATCAGTATAATGACTAATTATTTTAATTTGTAAAATTGATCAGTATTTAATAATTTTCTTGTTATAGGATTTTTTATTAAATATATAAGGATTAGAGCTGTCAAAACGGGTTATCCGGCCTGATTCGGCTCGGCCCATCATGGATTGGTCCGTTAGTGAGCCAATCCAACCCGGCTCATTTATTAGCGAGCCAGAAAAATTCGAACTCGGTCCGACCCATCATGGGTTGGTGGGTAAATGGGTTGGCTCACTGACTCACTGACTCACTTAATTAGTATTTTTTTTAAATAAAAAAATTTTACAAATTTTCTATAATTCAAATCTAAACAAATTTCACTCCCAAATTTCATTCCCAACATAGGTGTTTAATTAATTTTGAAAATAAGAAATTTAAATAATTTTTTCTATAAATTTTTTTTATAAAATTAAAATTAAATTTTAATAAAATAAAATTAGGTATGTGGGTTGGTAGGTCAACCCGACCCATGAGCCGGATTAAAATCTGACCCGCATAAAAAATATACAATTTTTTCAAACCCAACCCGACTCGAATCTCTAATAAACCAGATTGACTCGCAAGTTATGACCCATTTTGACAACTCTAACAAGGATGACATATTGTCAAGTTACATATAAAAATTATCATAATAAAAAACTACTAAACTTAAATGATAAAATTAATATAGAATAACTGGACTAGAAAACCAACTTAATAAAATTAAATTTTGGAAGACCCCTTTTTGATTTAAATAAAGTATTAAAGTGATAAAAGACACTATACAGTTTATTTAAGAATATGTGATTATTTTTTTCTTAACAGTAAAATGGGTAAAAAGTTGATAAATATAAAATATTTTGAAAAACATAGTAAATGATGAGGAGGAGGAGGAGAAGGAAAGTGCGGTGTATGAAGTGGGTTAACATTTATAGGATGAAACTATAGAAAGATGCATATAAGCCTACGGATGTGACGGAAGGAAGTGAAGGAAGAACCCAATTGATTGTTCCTTCCTTCCTCTCTCTCTCTCTCTCTCGGGTGCCAAAAGAAATAGGTTAAAAATGAAATAAATAATAAAAATTAGGCAAAAGTGATATTATTAGGGAAGTAATTAATGAAATGGAGAGAAGGGATTAGCTTGGGTTTTTGTGAGGTGAAGCAGTGATATTATTATAGGGAGAATGTGACCAATTCAAACCCAGTTGTCAGAAAACTATTATGAGCACACAGTTGAGTGACAAAAAGACGCAAAACTGTAAAAGTGCATTACCCCACCATCCCCACACGCAACACCCCCACTATTCTTCAACACCCATTACTATAATTACTTCTCTTTATTTTTATCACTCTATTAATATAAATAAAAAAATAAAATAAAATAAAACAGCACTGAAGCTGCTCCACCTGCGCCCAGCCGGCCGTCATTTCACACCAACACAACACAACTCTCTATCTCTCTCTGCCCTGTCTGATTTGACCCTTCTTCCATGTGGTCCCTGTTTTTCCTCTTACTATGTTTTTTATTATTATTATGGGGCGGTGCCTTGTGGGACCCACAGGGTGAGAGGAAAACGTGGCGTGTTTCTGGTGAGAAGCCCCATCACCACCGAATCTGTCGGCACCGCACACGTCACGCTGCTCTCTCTTACAATGTCACACGCAACACAACACATCTCCTTTTGTTCTCTTTCCTTTACGCAAAAACACATTTTGCAGACACACACCACCACACACACCAAGACGTAATTGGGTCTTTTCTTTGGTCTTTCCTTCTCTCCTTCCTCTTTCCTTTCTCTTTGTCATTTTCCCTATTGCTCTGCTTTTGTCCTCTTTGTGGTGGCGCAGTCTACTCTCCATTGACTGCGGCGGCGCACCGATGTCATTTTTAACACCACTCATTCTCTTTTCTATTAATTAATTAATTAATTAATCACTCAATTGATGTTAGAAAAGAAGAATAAATGGCAAAACCTGTTCACATTTCATGCTATGCATGCATCATTGTGTATTCACACGTCATGCAACATGTGGGCATGTTATGTCACCATGATCATAGTGGAGTTTGGTTGTTGACCGTGCCCTCATCCATCAAATATCGCAAAGGTGGATGGCCGGACCAAGCACTTATTTGTCATTTTCTTTTTTTTTTCTTTCTGAATATTCCTTCATATACCAAAACTTATTTTGCTCCTACATAATTTTAAAATAATTACAAATAACTGTCATTATGTGTGTTTGTGTGCGAATACAACTTGTGAGTGATAGAAACATGGGTGTGCATAAATACAACTTTGACATTTTGACATTAGTAAATTGATAATTTGGTTTTTCTAAGAACTGTGATAAACAAGTAAAAAGATATTTTAAATGCAAAAAGTAACAATCTTTGTTTCATAAATTCTAGCTTGGTTCATATATTAAGAATTGAACTCTCTGTGTTATGAATTGACTCACTGAATTTATGTTACTGTATAAACAATACCACTTTATTTACAATATTTTATTTCCAATATTTTTATATTATTCAGGTAGTAATTGTTATTGAATTGACTATTCACTACTAAATTTAAATTAAAAGTTAAAATAAATAATTAGTTTGTTTTGTTACTCAATAATTATCTTTAATATTTAGTGTAAATTAAAAATTTGCTTTTAATACTAATTAATTGTATTATACACCTAGTCAAGAAGATATTTATTTATAAATCAAGTCATTAGTTAAACATTAAAATAAAAATAAAAAACAATGTTTACAATGTGTATATCAAAGTGGAGAATAGAAGGCGAAAATTTAAAGCTATAAATACGGAGAATTTAAATCATAAAACTTAATAAAGTTAT